GACCAAAACCAAAACCGAAAAAAATTCAGCACGCCAGGCATCCCTGCGATGAATCGACAGGGGGCGGCGGATCCCAGCGTCATTCGGCCCATCCTTCACCGTGCGTAGGTTGTGGGTCTGAGGCCTCTTACATATGTGTTGAAGTGTCGTGGGGGGCCTCTTGGAGGCGAATTGGGCGCTTCTTGGGGGCCTCTTCTCTTGGGTCGTGGGGTATCTTAGGCCTCTTGGAGGCCACTTGCGCGCGTCTTGGGTGCCTCTCGGGGACTCTTGGCTGCCTCTTGGGGCCCCGGGAGCTTTTCTGGGCTTCTTGGATCGCTTCTTGGGCCATTCCGGAGCCCTCTTGGGCCGTGTTTGGGCTATCTTGGGGCGGTCTTGGTAGGTTCTTGATACGTCTTGGAGCGTGGGAAACCCGACAATGCGAAAAATCCGAAACCTTTCAAAGCCAGTCTGTGAAATCAACGATTGTGACCTCTTGGGGCTCTCTCGTGAGGCCTCTTCGAGCGCTCTTTGGGCCTGTTGGGGCCTCTTGGGTCGTCTCGGAACCATCTTCGGGCACCGTGGAGCACTTTTGGCTTCGGTAATGATAATACGTTGTAATTTGCAAAGGTTTATGGCCTCGGGGACGCGACGATTGTGTCATTTGAGAGGTTTTGTTGCCTTGGGGATGCAATGATTGAATCATTTGCAAGCGTTTGTGGCCTCGGGGACGCGATTCTTGTATATTTCACTAGGGGCTAATTATGGTTTCGTGGACGTGAATACAGCGTGATTCACAAAGGTTTGTTGTCTCGGGGGCGCAAAACTTGTAATGTACGAGGTTTGTTGTTTCGGGCACGCGAGCATTTTCAATTTAGGCGGGATTATGGCCTCAGGGGCGCGATCTGGCGTATTTTTACGATTTGGGCGTGGTAAATTGGCAGTTTGGGGCGCCCCCCCTTGCGCGGACTTCAACAATTTACAGTAGGAAGCAGAAAGCTTTATTGTAACACTGGAGACTTGCAGCTGCAACTGGCACAGGGAGCAGCAAGCTATCCCTACAGCCTGGTGGCCCCACAAGGGGGCTGGCGGTTCACCTGTTGGCTGCAAAGCTCTGGCGTCGATATTATTAGAAGGATTCTGAAACGTTGGAGCGAGTCCAGAATGAGACATGCACAGCTCGGCTTGCCAGCAGCGCGCGGCACGGCAGATGCAGTCATGGCGGTCCAGCGCACGATCGATTCATCACATCAAAAGGACGTTTTTCTGTTGATGTTGGATTGGGCCACAGCCTTCGACAGAGCAAAGCCCGATTGCATGTGTTATTCAATGTACCGTTTTGGGTTTCCTGTTGAGATGGTGCAAATTGCACGGTCCATCTATAGGGAGAGACTTCCCGATATGATGGATCAAACTGGATATTCTTCGGAATGGTTGCAGTAAGCCGGTATAGCCCAGGGGTGCTCGCTGTCGCATTATTTATTCATGATTTCATACCCCGTCATGTTCCACGAAGCTTTGCTCCACGACGCTTTGCAAGATATCGCGTACGCAGACGACACGCTGCTGATATCGCACCACAGACATGAGATGGAACAGAGGCTCTCAGTCATTCCTGAAGAAAGCGCGACATATGTATTAGAGGTTGGTTGGGGGAACATTTCGTGAGCGAATATTTCCACTCGCATGTCCATTTTCGGACCCAGTGGTGAAACCATGAAATTTGGCCGTGAAGCCGTTTACTTTGGAGGCCCCATCGCATGCGACGGTGAAGCAACGTCGGATGCTTCACGGCGGTTCGGACGTGCTTGGATAGGGCGTGTTTGGATTCGTGTCGTTGTAGATGTTCGTGCCGTTGTATCTGTTCGAGACATATTCGGTATTCCGCCGTCATTCTTTTCAGCGGCAGCCGCGCCGTTGTTCTGGACAAGGGTGGTGCGAAACCATTATCTGATATTTTAGTGGGCAAGCAGATCGCAATATACCGCAAGGTTGCGAATGAAAAAGCTCCGAACATAGTCATTTCTATATTTTGCGACATCGATTGTGCGCCTAAGCAAATGGCTGTGCGCAGCACGGGAGTAACAAGAGGGAGGCCCGTACAGCGCTGGGGAGTTTCTGTTTGTACGACATGGCAATATTGGTAGTTTTCGTTGTACCGTCTTCCAACACCGTCGTCTGCATCGTAGTGTCAGCGCGCCTGACATACGGAATTGCGGACGCAGTGGGCGTGCCTATGCTTGGTGTGCCCTCTGGTGCGCCATTGCACGCGGTTGGCGTGCCTCAACCGCGCGTCCACACGTGAGCTCGGTTTAGTGCTGATGGCCCCAAATCCTCTCGGCTCACGTCCTTCTTCCTGTGCGCTGCGGGGATCGAGGCAGGACCAAGAGGACAGTGACGAATATCCAGGTGGAGTAGTGTCGCGGAGGGTCGAGGACGGGGGGGGTCAACCAGGATCATCGACGTATGAGGAGGAGGAGGAGGATTGACGAGGACGCGGAGGAGGAGGAGGAGGAGGAAGAGGAGGATCGAGGAGGGCATTGATCGACGAGGACAGGCAAGGATCGGCGACGACGAGGCGGCGGAGGACGGGGATCGAAGAGGATTGAGTAGGAGGACGGAGTAGGAGGAGGAGGCGGAGGAGGAGGATGACGAGGAGGAGGAGGAGGAAGATCGAGGAGGAGAACCGAGGAGGTCAATGATGAGGAGGAAGAGGAGGAGGAGGAGGAGGAGGAGGACTGACAACGGCAGCGACGACATTCCTGCCGCCCAGGTACGGGGCCGCGGCGAGCCAGCTCCGGGCTGGGCGGCTTCACGAGGCCCGCCCCCTTCTGCCAGCGCCCGGCAGCGGGTGGGACCTGAATCGGGACGATTAGGAAGCCAGGACGTGGCGCCGGCTGGGGTCGGATTTGCCATCGGACGAAGACAAACAATCCGCTTCCAGAGATGGCCAGGACCAGGATGAATCCGTCCTGATCGAAGGCTGGAGCCGTCTGGGTTTGCTTTGGAACGTTCTCTGGCGTTCCAGAACGGTCTGAGAAGGCCGCGGCGCCCGAGAGAATTTCCAGAGCATCCGGATCTAAAATATTGTTTTCTTTTTTTCACCTGAAGATATTTTCGCCCCGAATCAATCTTCTTCGATGCAAAAGCGCCGGATCCTAAGTATTCTCGTCTGTCCACCGACAGACAGGTCTTTGTGGGCACCAGAGGCACGGACATGTGCAGCTGTCGCAGCGCCTTCGAGGCCGAAACAGTGGCACTCGACGAAGGGTCAGAGGCTTTCTTGTCCGTTTGCAGGCTGACACTTCCCCCCCTTTCTTCCTGTTTCCTCTCACTTCCTCTTTCCACTTGGCATATCCGTTTCTGGAGTACATTCGTCCCATCATGTTCTCATAACGTGCACCTCATGAGGTTTGCCACGCGCGCAAAACAAAAAAGGTGACGATTTTCGCCAACATTTATCCTCGTCCTGCTTTCGTCGTTTGGGGGTGGGCGTTGCCCGTTGCCGGCGCCTGACATCGGCTTGGATCGGAGCCCGGGGGGACCTAAATGTACACGGAAACAGGCGGTACAGAGCCCAGCAGCAGCTGTTGCTCTGTCTGGGCAAGGTATTTTGTCGGCGTGCGGCGGTTGTTGTTCATTTGACACAGAAGGCCGCCCGCTCAACAGCGGCCGCTGCCGGTTTTGGACAACATTTGTTGTTGGGTATCGCACCCATGTATTCCGTGCCCATTTCGGGCGTCCAAATGAGCCGTGGGGGCAAGGTTCTGACAGTGCCGGGAAAAGCGTCTGTTTTTTTGGGGGGGGCAGTTGCTCCTGCACCAGTTCCGTGACACTTGTATGTTCCTTGCTATGCGAGTCCAAGGTTATTGTTTTGGGCCGGGTGAGTTGTGTGAGGAACGCACGTGGCGCGTCGCGTCGCCCCTTTCCTCGACCTCCTCTTGGACAGGAGCATAGCGTAGACGGAACGTCCGCTGCTCCGTCATATTGTATTGCGCCGAAGGCAACGGCCGCGTTGCCTGTACGCGTATCCGCCCTGCATGCACATGTGTACGTTACGACACTCTATCCTGGGACCCCCAGGGGGGGAGGCGTCAGAACGCCTCCAAGCCAGTACACTGCAGTATGGAACTTGATGTTTCGGACGAATCTCGCTGACCCCCAGGTCCTTCATGGCTCTAGCTCTAGCCTCTAGCGTTCCTCGTTCGCCCAGTGGTTCTGGAGGGCCAGAAGCGGGCTTCATTCCGGCCAAGCCGTCGGGCACCTTTTTCTGCAAGGTTCGCTCCCGGCGCGGGGGTAAGCGCCAGAAAAGCCAGCCGCGTCCAGTTCATAAGTTACGCTTACACCCTTTGTTTGTCACCCCTCCCGTTTTCGCCCCGACAAGCGGGGGAACATGAGCGGTTTGGGCCTCTTTGAAGCCTCGGTGAGCTGATTCGCCAGTGCTTCTTAAACCAAATTGCTCTTGTGTCCGACCCGACCCTCGAGGCCTCTGGGGTACTTAGGAGGTCAATTGGGGTCGCGTTGGAAGCCCCTGTTTGACGGCCCAAAGCAGCGCCCCGTGTTGCTAGACCCTTCGGTCTACGCTTGCAAAATGTTCGTGATGATTTGCTTTGGATTTCATTGGCTGCTCCTCGTTCCGTGGGGCATCCGAGTTATTAGCCCTAAGCCCCATATTGATAATGTCCCGAGGTTCTGTGTGAAAGAGGCCCGAAGGGGCCAACACTTCAGCAAGAAGGCAGAAGCCAGGAAAACGGCGGATCAAGCGCAGATGCGGAAAGGACGGGGTCGAGGTCACCATCGTCTGATGGCACTGGCCTGCCCTTGCCCACTGTGGTAGCAGGATTTCTGTGGTCGTCAGCCTCGACCTCTTCCCCCCCTCCACCCTCCACCTCGAACCAGTCCTCCAGCTCATGCCCCTTCCCCAGAGGTCAGTCAGGGCAGCACGGCAAGCTGCGCCGTACGGTAGTTTCTTGGATCAAGCACGCCTGCTCGCAGCCTGATCGCTGGGCGAGCGGAACCGGACCATGGCCTTCGCTGCCGGCACCACGTTTTTGGCGGCGGGCGCCGCTGGCGGGGCCGTGTTGGAGCCCGCCCACGCGCCGCCCCGCGGCGCCGCCGTGCGCCCCGCGGCGCCCGAGGGGCCTGGGCCCCAGGGAGGCGCCCTCGCCCTCGCCACGGCCGGCGCCGCGCTGGCGCTGCGGGCCGCGTCGCGCAAGTCCGCGGGGAGGCCCCGGGCCGCCGTGGTGGCGAGGCGCGCCAAGGACCACGTCAACCTCGGCACGGTGGGCCACGTGGACCACGGCAAGACGACCCTGTCGGCGGCGATCTCGGTGGTGTGCTCGCAGTTCAACACGAGCACGGACACCAAGATGAAGTCGTACGAGGAGATTGACAACGCCCCCGAGGAGAGGGCCCGCGGGATCACGATCAACGCCTCGCACATCGAGTACGAGACGCCGACGCGCCACTACTGCCACGTGGACTGCCCTGGCCACGCGGACTACGTCAAGAACATGATCACGGGCGCCTGCCAGATGGACGGCGGCATCCTCGTGATCTCGTCTCCCGACGGGCCCATGGCCCAGACCCGCGAGCACATCCTGCTCTCGAAGCAGGTGGGCGTGCCCAAGCTCGTCTGCTTCATGAACAAGGTGGACGTGATGGACGACGAGGAGCTGCTTGAGCTCGTCGAGCTTGAGACCCGAGAGATGCTGAGCCAGTACGGCTTCCCTGGCGATGACGTGCCCTTCGTCCAGGGCTCCGCGCTGCAGGCGCTCGAGGCCATGAAGGCGAACCCCAACACCAAGCGCGGCGACGACAAGTGGTGCGACAAGATCCTGGAGCTCATGGACACGGTGGACGAGTATATCGACCTCCCCGAGCGCCAGACTGACAAGCCCTTCCTGCTGGCCGTCGAGGACGTGTTCTCCATCTCGGGCCGCGGCACTGTGGCCACTGGCCGCGTGGAGCAGGGCGTCGTGAAGAAGGGCGACGAGGTCGAGATCCTGGGCAGGGGCAAGAAGGCACAGAAGTCCGTCGTTACTGGGATCAGGATGTTCAACACAGACCTCCCCGAGGGCCCGGCGGGCTACACCGTCGGCGTGCTGTGCCGCGGCGTGTCGCGCGACGACATCTCCCGCGGGCAGGTCATCTGCGCCCCGGGCGCCACCAAGACGCACACCAAGTTCAAGGCCAACATCTACCTGTCCAGCAAGGACGAGGGGGGCCGCAGCAACCCGATCATGCCCGGCTACATGCCCGTCTTCTACTTCCGCACGTGCGACGTCACTGGGAAGATGGTGACCATGGCGAGCTCCGAGGGAAACGCGGTGCAGATGGCGATGCCCGGTGACGACGTCACGATCGAGGGCGAGCTGATCGCCGCCACCCCGATCGAGACGGGCATGCGTTTCGCCATGCGCGAGGGCGGCAAGACCATCGGCCAGGGCCTGATCACCGAGGTGAGCTAGAGGACGTGAGCACGTCGCAAGCGGGAGGGGGAGTTTGATCGTGGTTCGAGGTTGATGGCAGGTCGGGGAGGGCACGCATTTGAAACTAGAAGTTTTCACTCGCCGGTGTCTCTTGCCCCTCTTGGGGGCATACCGTTTTTCTTTGCACCGTGTGACCGAGGCGTTAGCGAGGCCACGTCAGACGTACTGTAGCGCTCGCGTCGCAGCGAGCGTTCTTCAAACGATGGCAGCGGCCATACCCGATGTTCCGCGCAGGCAAAACGTGTCCAGTTGCAACACAATCGATGCGGAAGCCGAGCAAGGCAATCTACATGAATGAGAGAGAGGGGGGGGGGGGGGAAACGAGGAAGGAGAGGACAACAGAGGGGCACAGGAAGTGGGGTGAGCGCATCTGAGGGCCGGCTGGGTAACGGTCCGCCTGCGAGCGGGGTGCACGATCGGGTGCCGTCGCGCTCGAATGGTAAAGATGCGCTGTATCTGACTCCCTTCCAGGGTGGATCCGCAGGAGATTGGGCGGACATTGACAATCGGCCGGAGCGCCATCAAAGTCGACCGATCAAGGGCCAGCGAGGTGTCTGCCATCATCGCAGACGCGGCCGTTAATAGCCCGGCATGATGCTCACACCATGTTGCATTTGCCTGCCGCTTGACGCCACGGGACACGCTTGCAGAGTAAAGTGTGCTAGTGAATGCCCATCAGGGGCAGCCTTATGGCTGGGATGCGCTCGGGGGGTATGCATCGGCTCCCAATCTGCCGTTCATCCGATAGTTCACCCCCGCCCGGGAAGCCTGCGGATTCGCTATCGGAGGCGTATCGCCGATCTATCGGCGATGTATCGCCGATTCCAGGTCAACGTTTCCGCCTGGCCCCCCTAACGTTCGCCGCCCCATCAAGGGGAGGGAGTGTCCAGGGCGAGGAAAGCAGCGGCGGAAGCAGGAGAGGCGGACGAGGGGCTGCATTAAGTCGGGCCTGTCCCTCTACAGGAGGAATATTCAAAATAGGCAATACATAGTTTGGGGACGATGGTTTTTTCAAATTATTTCTGGCTCAAGCCACAGCGACCGCACTCAGAGCGCCGCTTCGCTCACTACCACATTCAAACCGCCACACTCACCGCCCCTGTGCGCGCAGCCTCTTGCGCGTTTCTTCTCATGTCGCGATCTTGACATGGCAGCATCGGTCGCCGATGATCCCCTGGCCGACGGCACTGCCCTGACTCAGAGCGCCGAGCGCCTCGGCATCAACGACAACAGCCTCGACGTCGACGATGTCGGGGCTGCCGCACCAGCAGGGCCACCGGCAGCAGTACTGGGCGCCCTGGCCGGGGCTCCGCCTGGATTGCCAGCAGCGCTACATTCTACTCTAGCCGGGCTCGTCGAGCAGCTGGTTGTGGGTGGATGGACAGAGTGGTCGAAGGAAACAGTCCTTGCCAATTTCGATTTCATCGACGCTTCACGGGCTGAGGGTTCCGACCCAGCGCTGCACCTCCCCGCAGGCGGCCAGGATGTCCAGTCGTGGCCCAACCTCCAGGCCTTCCTGGAAGATGTCGGCTACGACTTCGCTGCGTCGTCCTCCTGCTGGCGGGGTCTCGGAATGGAACCCACTGCTGGGGCGTGCCCTACGATGGAGGACATCGGGGACAGGGCTCGCAGGGTGCACTCGGTGCTCTCGGTCACGAAGCTGCTTGCCTCGTGGTCTGGCGCGTGCAAGGCAGGGGTACAGACCGCGGAGGACTCCATAGCAGCTGCCCGCACTGAGTGTCTTCACCACCTGCCCGCAGTGCTCCGTGACCGCCGCTGGAGCGGAGGTTATACGCCACCGCCGTATTTGGAACCTCCTCCGGCATTGGAGCAGTGGGTGGGAATGGAGATCGGCGGCTTTTCGCGGCAGTGGACATCCGCTCTGTGGCAGTCGGACGCCTGTGCCTCTGGCTGTCCTGGGCAACAAACGGGCGTCTCGAAACGGGATCGGCCAGGAAGTTGATGGAGGAGATGGTGAAGAGTATAGAGCGAGCCCTGGCGGTTCTGAGCGCGCTTAGGGTTGGAGGCATTGTGCTATGGTCACCACGGGAATCAGAGCGTCTCCATCGCCTCCTGGGTGGCATCGAACACGTTTTTCTGGAGGGCGTGGACATCGAGTTCTTGATGCTATGCGAACGGGATCCTTTACCTGATTTTGGCGAGGCTGACATGCTCGAGGACTTCTGGCGGGACCCCCTTCTGAATGGCCGGAAGTCGTACCTCGTGGCGGCCGCGGCTCGTTTGCAGGAGCCGGCGCTCATCACCACCACCGTGCACAAATCGGCGGCCACAGTCGACAAGGCGTTCTCGACCTATCGTCTCGCGAAGGCTGGGGATGGGGCGCCTGCGCGAGTGGTTTCGTGGCGCCTGGCGCTCTACAGTCGGGGCGCTGAAGAAGTGCCTTTTTCGTTGGGGAGGGCTCCATGTTCCTTGATTGCTTCACAGTTTGCCTTGGGTTTGCCTTTGGTTTTCCACGGGAAATCAAGGTTCAACTTGTGAATGAAAGAAACCTCGTTCCTTATTTCGGGTTCCTTGGGTCAACGCTCCGACTGTATTCCAAGTGCTCGCGACAATGTGATTTGGGCGGACAGCGCTTCGCAGTCCGCACCTCGCGGCGCGGCGGGCCCTCGCGCCGCCGGTGTCGCAGCATGGTAGCCGAGGGGAAGGGCCCCTCCGCAGCTTGGGCCCCGTGCCGGACGGCCGCCGTGTCCTTTTCAGGGTGTGCGCTGAACGGGGGATGTTGGAGGATGATGGAGGAGGATGATGGAGGAGGAGGAGGAAGAGGAGGAGGAGGAGGAGGAAGGAGGAGGAGGAGGAGGAAAAGGAGGAGGAGGAGGAGGAGGAGGAGGAGGAGGATGGAGGATGGAGGAGGAGGAAGAGGAACAGGAGGGGGGAGGAGGGAGGAGGTCATTTTCGGGCCTGGGCGCGCACCTCCTCATCCGACAGCTCCACAGGGCCGTTCCTCGCTCCTGCGCCGGTTGGCAAACACGGGTTCTCCTGGCAGACAGAGGGGCGCACGTCATGGAGCGCACCTGTCCACGAGTGCTGGTTCACCCCCGGAACTTTCACGACGGCGTCCTCTTGGTCTCCCCGACCCTTGCCACCTTGCACCCTGTGTTGCCGCGGCGGACCTGGGAGGCCGAGTTGACGAAGACTCTGCAGGGCGACCCTGGCTACGCAGCCATCCAGCTTCGTCAGCAACGTTCCCATGGCGGGCGGCCTTGGGCTCGCCCGCGCACGCTGGACGCAGTTTTATCAGGCGTGGTGGCGCACGACCGGGCGAGACGTACTGGGCGCCCAACCGCACCAGCGTCAGGGCAGCTACGCTTGACAGGCCCCCTGGGCGCCCGTCCACTCGAGCTGCTCGCACAGGTGATGCACGCTGCTGGCCAGATGGCGGGCTTCGCATGGTCGCAGCACGTGCTGCCAGGCGAGCTCCCTCCGAATTCCTGGTCGTGCCAACTCCCAGCGTCAGGGGAGCCCACTGGTACAGTCAACTTCCGCCTGGGGAGCCTCGTGGATGTCAAGCGACTCCGGGGCCCCGTGCATGGGGACATCGTTGAGGTGAATTGGTCCCGGACGCCAATCCACATCCTCAGCTCCGACCTGGCTGCTGGGACGTTTCGCGCCCAGCGGGCGGCGCGGGCCTGACGGCTGTGGCGGTCGGCGCGGCGTCCAGGAGAGATGTCGCGAGCACGTCCTATTCCGATGGTGGGACGTTGGGCCAACATCGAATTCCACCCGCTCTGCTTGCAACCGTTCCCCTACTATGCTGTGCACGTCCATGTGTTCCTCGGGGGCATCTCCTACCACTCGCTCTCCGACGATTTTTGCAGGCTTAGGGGCTGATGCTATTTTGATTATTGATATTGCTAGTCAGACATCATCTCTGCCAGCTCAGCCATTGACCGCGGCTCGGACCATAGCGCTCGCAGCCTCGAGCTCTGCCGCCGGTTCTACCCAAGCCTCTGCCTGTTCTTACTCAGCCTCCGCTGGGGGCTCCACCGGGCGACCATCCTGGGCTCCGCGATCACGCTCGCCCTCGACATGCCCATTTCGGGAAGCCCAACGGCCTGGCGACGACCCCGCCCCGCTCCCCGACGTCCTGTCGACGGCCTCTTGATGACCCCACCGTGGCCCCGCTACGAGCTACAGACGACCCCGCAACAACCCCCGACGACGCGGCCCGACGGGGCTCAGCACTGACCGACGCAGCCCGACGCAGGCTTCCCGACTCCCCGACGACCCCTCGACGTTCACCCGACGATCCCACGATGCTCCCCCCGTGAGCCTCCGACGACCCCACGTCGACCACAGGACCCCCCGTCGATTTGGCCCGACGCAGCCCGACCGCATCGTCGGCCAGACCTCCGTCACCGCAGCCATCGCCATCGCCGCCAGGCGGGCCTGCCTCGCGTTGCGCGCATTGCCTTTTGCGGCTGCCCGTGCTCAGGTGACGCGGTGGGCCGGAGCTGGAACGCGCAGGCCCTCTTTGCGCGCGACCCCAAGCGGCGCCGGCAGAAGAGGGCGCACTGCTTGAATTTATTTCGCCCTGCTGATTTCGTGGCTCTGCAGGAGACGCGCAGCACGCGACTGTGACCAAGTTCCCGAACAGTGTCGCTACTTGGTGGTCCCATGGATCCCAGTCTGTCCGCGGTGTGGGAATGCTTGTCAAAACCGCGTTCCTGGACAAGTTTGGAGGCGCCCCCCGTGCTACCTGGGTGGAAACCGCGCCAGGATGGGCAGCTATCTTCAGATTGGACGGCTCGATTGGCTCTTTGGACATCACCATTTTGCATCTCCCTACTAGGCATGCGTCCGCCGAGCGGGCCGCAATCAGAACATCGGTGATCCGTGGTCTTCGGCCGCGGGGCCGGGCTGCCACTATGCTGATTGGGGGCGGGAATTTTGCGCGCGAGACAAGGGGCAGGCTCAACCTGTCCGATGCTGCATGGCCTTCCGGTTCCGACGCGAAGGAGCAGCCAGGCATGTCGGACGCTTCCGCGGCAGCTCACAGAGGGCCAAGTGCCGCATCGAGTCCATGGCCGGGGGGGCATCGCCCAATTCCGTGCAAACCAGAAGCCAGACGTCTCGGTGACCACGGACCCGGAGCAGATCGCCGACACGATGGCCCAGCACTGGAGTCACGTATTCGCCAGGGAAGATATCGACCATGATGTTTTGCCAGCATGGCTGCGCGAGGTGGCGCCCACCTGGGGAGGCAGCCCGCTGCCCCGGGACAACGGGTCGGCGTGCTCTGTTGCATTCCGAAGACAGCACGGGACGTGGACCCAGTGCTAGGCGCAGTCCACCAAGCTGGAAGGACGAGATCATTATGCTTGGTGGACGTGTCGAATCGCTTGCTCGCCTCGGCGTGCAAACGGAGGCGGGAGCAGGGGCTCGGAACGTGGGTCTCCGACCCCCAACGCGGCTTCCTGCCTGGCCGTTCAATCATGTTGAACGTCATCGAGCTGGAGGCGGACGATCTTCGGACCGCGTCCGTGGACCTCCGCGCCGCGTTTCCCAGCGCGGCGCACGACTTCCAACGCGGGCGCTGGCGCGGCTACGGCGTGCCGGAGGACATCCCTGACTGCACCCCGAGCTTTTCACGCGGACGGGGCTCGCTCAATCTCGGTCGTTGGCGGCCTATGGGGCGGGTTTGCCGTTGGGCCGGGCGTCCGCCAAGGCTGTCCGCTGTCGCCTTCGTTTTTTGCTGCCTGCATGGATCTACTCCTGCGCGTGCTCCAGCTCCGACTCGGCGGCGGCTGCCTCGCGCGCGCGTTCGCCGATGGCGCGGGTATAATCCTAGACGGCGTGGCCATATAATTGCCGATCCCTGTTGCCGCGCTCGAGGAGTTCGGCCGCCCCTCAGGCATGCAAGTCAATATGGAGATGACAATTGACATCCCACTGTGGGGCAACAGTTTGGGGGAAGCACGCGCCGCGGTCAGCGAGGCTGCGCCGTCTTGGCCCCGGCCCCCCCTGCCCCGCGAGGCTACTTACCTCTGGCGCGTCATCGGCCCCGGGAAGGTTGGCCAGGAGTGGGATCGTGAAGCTGCGCGTTTCCAGGGCCGCGCGCCCGGATGGCCGTGGCGGGCGCTGGGCTTGCATTCTGCCGCTTTTGTTTGCAATGTACACGCGCCCCCAGTGCTGAGCTTCACTGCCCAGATTGCGGACGTGGACGCCGCTGTCGGCGCGCTGGAGGGGTGGGCCTTGCGAGGAGCTGCCCCTGGCCCAGGAAACTAGGCGATGCCGGGAGATCTGCGGCAGTTTGACCAGAATTTCTGCATGCCGCAAGCTTTCGGGCAGCTGGCCACGCTGGCGCAGACGGCGCAGCTCCGCCTGGCTGCGTGCGAGGATCGGAGGCTCGACGGAGCCAGCCTGGAGCGGATGACGCTTGAGCTTCGAGCGGAGTGGAATCAATCGCAGCGCATGTTGCGTGTCGCGCGGCGGGCAGGCTGGCTGCGCGCTTCCGCCCCCAGCGCCCTCGCGCGCAACGCGTGGCAGCTCCGGCGACAGGGCATCACGGCCAAACGAGTTGTCGTTGCGCTGACTGGACAGAGCCCCGAGGCGCTGGCGGCCGCGGCGCGGGAGCAGGCGCGGCTCGGCATTCATTCCAGAGGGAGGTGCGTCGGCGGGCGCGCTCACTGCACCCGGACCGCGCCCATCTGCGCATCAGGGTCAAGCTGGGGCGGTTGAAGTTCCCGCGGGCGCCCGGGCTGCCTACGCCGCGGGCGCTTGTATACAGATTCCCCCAGCATGTCTGGGCTCTAGGGCGCCAGGTGCCGCCCGTGTCACCGCTGCTGTTTTCCGAACTGCTTGGAGCGGCTGGCGCCTTGCTCGACGGTTTCAGCGCCGCGATGGACCGCGGGTATTTCTGCGTTTTGGGGTGTGGTTATGGGCGCGACAGCATCGGGCACAACTCGCGGTGCGCCGTGGTGAGGTGAGAGAGCTCGGCGAACATTTTCCGCGTCTGGCGCCCGCCACTTTGGATCGGCACTGACGACGCCCAGTGCGAGGAGCACGCGGTGGCTCTTGGAGCGCTCGGCGCGCGCGCCGCCCAGCGGGCCGCCAACGCGGCCCGCCGCGCGGGGGGTCTCCCAGCTTCTGAAGGCGCGCGGGCTCTCCAGTAAGGCCTACGCGATGCTGGCGTTGGCCGCGCGCCGTCGGGAAATCTTCTCTCGAGCATCTGGCGGCGGGCGGTCTCGGCGGACAGACGAGGCTCGGTGCGCGGCGATTCGGGGAACAGGAGGTGGACTGACATCGTGTTTTCTTACAGGTCGTCCGATCCCTCTACGTACTTGATTCCGGTCTTGCGCTTTCCTCGTCTCCCCCTCCCCTCTGTTTCAGCTGTGGCGCGCGCTAGCCAGCTGCCTGGAACCAGCCTTCCCGTGATAATCGCACTGTGAAGGCGTATTTGCTTCCAGTGTGTTGCATCGCTTCGTGATGCCGTTCTGGCTTCCAGCATGTTGCATCACATTGTGTAGGCGTGGTTGCTTACAGCGAGTTGCATCGCATTGTCTGGCTTCTCAGCGCCTCCCCTCGAGCGAATAACCGCTCAAATTTCAGCCCCCTTTGCGAGACTTTGTTCAGTCAGTCTCTGATGAACATTAAATTGTGGACTTGGGTTTGTTAGCGGGCTTTCTTGGGGCGCGTGCAGATAGGGCCGCGAACAGCCCCACACCGAGCGTCACAACTTTTAAGCATATTGACGCTGAGCCGAGCCAGTCGGCAGGCAGGTGTTGCAGTTGAGGCGCTCGTCGAAAGCGATTGTTCGCCCCTCCTTCCCCCTCGTCCTCCTCCCTCTCTCTGCCTGCCTTTGTCAACCGTCGTCCAGCTTTCTTGGGCTGAGCCGACGCCCGTGATGCAGCTCGTCTCTTTCCTCCCGCTCTTGCCTCCCGGAGGCGGAACGCTGGCTAGCCCTGCTGTGGCAGGCCGGCTGTCCGCCTCCTCTGCTTGTCTCGTCCTCTCTCACCCCCGAATGTTGGCGCCCCAGTGATAAATACTTTGTCCCGAGGATACTTTAAGCGCAGTCGGTAGCGTGCTCTGTTTTTTCCCTCCTCCCGTCCTTCCGCCCTCCACGGAACGTGGTGCTGGTGTTCTTGTGCAGCGGCAGTTCGCCTGATAGTTTGCATGCTGTTTTGTTTGTCTTCTCGCGGTCGCGCCGCGTGGAGGGAGCGAAGTTCTCCTGATTGCGCGCGCCATTTGCCCGCGGGCCTGCCGCTTCTGTGCAGGCGGCGCCGGCGCCCCGCCAGGTGCACGCGTGGGGCGTTTCGCCCAGCCCTGCCCGGGAATGTTTGCGATTGGGCCTTCCGCGGGCTCGGGCTGCTGCCCCGGCGGGCTGGCGCAGTCCATCCTCCCGCTCTTTCCTCGCTTCCTCTCTCGTTGGTTCGTCTCTCCTCTCTCCCTTTGCCCCCAAATATTTGGTCACATTGGAAGTTTCAACCTGCTTGTAGCATCGTTCGCTCGCACACTTTGCGTAGCCCCTCTGCCTAGGCATGAGGCTTGGCTCTGGTTCTTCAGCTTTCCGCTCGCGTGGGTCTCCAGTGCGAGTACCCTCCTGTGTTGGTTCCGTTTGTGCGGAACGTGTTGTGGCACGTTTCAGGCGGCGCATGCAGTCGTTCACCTGCCCGCTGCTTGAGGTTTCCTTTGCCGTGAATCAGAAAATCGCAGCATGTTCTGAATTTGTCCTGCGTACTCCTCTTTAACATTTTCGTCCAACATCTGCCTGTAGGAGGACGCCCGACCTAGGTGTGGCGCTCTTTGGCCCTCTCGGCCCGGCCCCAGAGCCGGCGGTCGACGCTCGAGGGCTGCGTAGAGCGCGGGCACCACGCAGATACCAGGAGGGACAAAACACACAGACACAACGAATCGTCGACCCCCAGGAAAATGTAGGAAAATATGGGAAGTGGGGGGAAGACAGAAATCTACAAAATATGCGGAAATATGGTAGGTCATGTTATTTGTGTGTACTTATTTGTGTGTCCCAGGGCCCCCTCAATGTATGCGAGGAGCGGCCGGCCCGGGCTCGACGGCACGAGAGGCGGACGAGAGGCCTCCCTCCCCCGAGGAGCCGCCCCCCCCCCCCTCTGGAGGGTTTCTCCGAGGGGCTTGGGCGACCCGTCCTCCTCCCCCCCTTTTCCCTTTTCTCCTCCTCCTCCTCCTCCCTCTTCCTCCTCCTCCTCCTCCTTCTCCTCCTCCTCCTCCTCCTCCTCCTCCCTCCTCCTCCGTAGCCATTTTGGCTCAAGTCCGTAGCGGTGGTTCAGAGGACATTGAGTTTGGCACTGGGGATCCGCGGCCCCACCAGTTTCCAGCGTTCCGTGCACGGTCCTGAGGCTCACTCGTTCAGTACTCTCGTTTCTCTTCACCTACTTACGGCCAATGGTTGGCGGATGGCACCGCCCAGAAAGGGGCTATGTTGCGTGTCCTCACGCTGCTTGCCGCTATCAGTGGAATTGGCGCTTTCATACTAAGTGTTGGAAGTGCGGAGGCAATCTCAAGCCATCGCCCGACGACGCAGCAGGCAAGGGTAAGAGCAAAGGGAAGTGGGATTACGGCCCACCGCGCTCCGCCCCCAACCCCTTCACTTCGTGGGACACTGGCGCTGCTTGGGCTCAAGATGGACAGTGTACCTCCGCCGCCACATCCCTTGACGGGTCGTCGCCGTTCGCCCCTGCGCCCGAGCAGCTCCTCATCGCCTTGGAGCGCAGATTGCCTCCTGGGGCAGCTGGCGACATGGGAGCCCGCCTCAGCGCGCTTGCCACGGCCCTGCAGACGCCCCAGCCCGACAAGGTTCCGAAGGCCCGACCAGAACTCGAGCGAGCGCAGCAGCTGCACCAGTCAGCAGTTGCACCCGCGAAGGCCCAGGAGGCCCTCGACAAAGCCATCATTTTCGAGGAGGGGTGCAAGGGGTGGCTGCACAAGGCGTCCGCGGACCTCCAGCAGAAGGTCCAGGCCGCTGCCGCCACGGCAGCCGCCCACCAGCGCCTGCTCCGCAGCAGCCTGGAGGCGCAGCCGACCTCGCCGCTCCAGCCAGCAGCCATCAACCTCACGGCCATCCTCGAGACCACGGAGCCTGAGGACCCGGGCAAGTTGGTCTGCTTCGAGGACGGCGACCTCTTCTCTTTCGGCGACCTGGAGCTCGAGCTGGAGGAGATCGAGCAATGGAACCGCCACACGTCAGAGCTGGCCGCCGAGGTCAGCAAGCTCATCGTCGCAGCAGTCGGTCCATCCGCGCAGGGGCTGGCTCAGAGGAAGCAGGCGTTCGCCGAATACCGCGCCCGCATGGCGCACAAGCGGCGTCGCGCCGCAGCGGGTGGCATGGCTGCAGGAGGCGACCCAGCCCAGCAGAGAGAGGCCGATGGAGGGCTTGGGGGCCAGCCTGATGGGGACGGCGCAGCGGCGGCTCGCGCCCCCGCCGCTGCGCCTGGCCCTGGGGCCCCGCCCGCGTCCGCCGCGGCGTCGACCGCGGGCGACCCGTCAGGCGCAGCCCCCGAGTCAGCTCCCCCCAGAGGCCTCGCCCGAGGACCTCGCCAAGACGCTTGCATATGCGCGCGCCAGGCGTGGGGCCTCAAGGGCCGCCGCCGCCGCCGCGGATGGCAAGCCGCGGCTTTAGCAGCATGCGCTCCAGCAGGCCAGGCCGCGGCGCGGGCCAGGCGAAGGCTTCTGACTCTCGAGAGCTGGCATTCTATTTCAAGAACATTACTACTTGGGGGCCGTCAACCCTCAATGATATCAAGGATGGAGTTTCAGGCGCGGATGTCGTGGGCTTTGCTGAGACCCACGCAGAGGATTCCCACGCCATCGTCGATGCCATGGGTAAGCACGGTTGGAGAGCAGTTGTCGCCCCTCCGAGGGGTCTTCGTTAGGTCAAGAGAGCTGGTGGTGTCATCGCTGGAGTGAGGCGCCACATCAAGAGCCACTCTTTCAAGGACCTCTGTCGTATTGATGAACAGCAGGTGGGCGCTGGCCGCCTTGACGGCCTTCTCAAAGAGGGCGGCCCCATCGATTTCTGGGATGTCGCACCCGCGGCGGTCGAACTCACGGGAGGCATGGACTTCATATTTGTCGCCCTCTATCTCACGCCTGGGGGGAAGCTCATGGGCGTCAACGCAGAGAAGCTCACGAACCTCGGGGCGTTCCTCAGGCTTCCCCAGATGCCTTGGGCTGTCGCAGCGGGCTGGAATGTGCCGCCGTCAGAGTCAGACATGGGGGGGTCCAAATGGCCAGATCTCCTGGGGGGATATGTTCTAAGCCCAACGAATACTACTAGGACGTGCAATCGCGCGCCATACGACCTCCTCGCTTTCTGTCTGGCTTCAAATTCTGCTATGGGCCTGGAACCCACATGCTACGCTGACGAGGCTTCAGGAGATCACAGAGGCATTTGGTTCAAGATTCGGGTCGACACCCGTTTGGCGCAGATTCGTATTTTGCCGCAGCCTCGACGTTTCCCGCGCCCGCCAAGGCCCAAGCGAGGCCCTGACCCCAGCGGCAAGCGGTCCAGGCGCAAGGCTAGTCGTACTAAGGAGGGAGCATCGCGTCGTCTGGGGCATACAGCACCCTCGCAGGACCTTGATGATGGGGACGGACAGGAGCAACCCACACCCAGGCATGGAAAAGGACTCCCGCCCAGGAGCTACGACGAGGTGATTCAGATCATGGCCCTGGACCCTCCCGCGCTGTTCTCGCTCCCGCCGCTGGCGGCGAACCTGATCATGACCCAGGGCCGGGAGATGGCTGCGGCGTGCGACCTGGGCTGAAACCTCCGATTCCCAGCCTGATGGACAAGGCCGAAGTTGATTTTGACAGTATGGATATACTAAGCGACATTGATTTGGATGAGGAGCTCGACGTGGCTACCCCGTCTGCTCCTACGGTTTCACTGCAGCAGCCACCAGCTGCTGCTACGCCGTGCTCTTCAACGGGTTCGGCTTTCTCGCCCCCGCTGGCGCCCGCAGCGGTTTCGGGGGGGGGGGGGGGGGGGGGGGGGGGGGGGGGGGGGGGGGGAACAAAACAAAAAAAAAGGTAACTTGGCAAATCACGCCCGGGCCAAATATTTACACGTAACGCCCGCTGAAGACGACCCCGCCCTTGCACATCGAGAGCGCGGAGGCCTGTCTCTACAACCTGACCATGCCGAGAAGGGGCTCGATCAGATCACCTTCACGGACGCCGAGAAGGATGCCCGCTGGAGTGACCTGAGCCCCGCCAGCCTTTCTGCCAAGCCGATCCCTAGTTTCATCCAGGACTCCTGGGCCTTCAGGCCCTCGACCCAATGTGCGGCGCTTGGTGGTCTCTTTTCGAGCTGGGTCGATCGACTTGAACGTTCCTTCTGCGACATCTACCAGCTGCCTAAGGAGCAGCACAAGTTTTGCTCTGGTCGCGCTTTCACCCAGGGGCCCACCGTTTCAAACATGACCCGAAGGGACCAGCCCTCTCGGCTTTCGGACCCGCTGGCCCGCTGGTGGGCCGAGGTGGCCACCCTGGCCGCCATCGGAGAGCAGTCTGCCAAGAGGGCGGACCTCGACAAGGACCCCGCGCCCCAGGGTAAGGAAGCTATTTCAAGGCTCCCCGAGAGGGCGCGCTCAGTCCCCTCGGGGCCCTCTGTGGCCTTGGAGCCAGCGGCTGCTCTGTCATGGAAGATCTGGCTCCGAGATCCGCAGCAGCTGGGGTCCCTGGAGCGGCGCGCCCTTCGTGAAACGGCGGGGGCCAATGCGGCCCAGGCCAAGCAGGCAGCAGCCAGAGCTTCACATGCTGAGTTTAAGGTTTGGGTAGCGGAATCTCGTTCGGACAAGGTTGGGAACCTCCACCGCTACTCCAAGCCCAAGGCTAAGGTCACCTCGGAGCTGATTTCTCATGAGGGGGTGGCAGATTCACCGCTCGAGCTGATGGACCTTCGTAGGCCCCGATGGGCTGCAACGTGGGCGGCCCTTGATTTAAGCGCTGCCTGGCAGAGGGTCGAGTCGGCTTTCCAGCGAGACCGCGCCTCTGGAGAACAAACAAAAAAAGGCCCCTCCCAGCGCTCACCCTGGAGCATCTCCAAGGGGCCCTGCGGCGCACCCCTGTCCAGACTGGTCGTGGGATCGAGAACCTCGGCCCTCGGGACATCCAGGAGCTGGGGCCCCAGGGCCAAACCGAGCTGCTGCGGGTTTCCACGCAGCTGAGTCTAATCTGGCCTGGTCATGGCAGCTGCTACCGTCTATCATCGGCCTCCTGCCTAAGGACTATGGCGGCCAACGGGCGATGGCCCTTCTGTGATGGTTGCCCATGCTCTGGAGTCTCCTCCGTAATCAGATCTCGCGGGACTGGCTGGAGGGGGAGGCGGGGTTCTGGGACGAGGCCATTCGAGGCAGCAGCGCTTCCAGGGCGGCAGCAGGCAGGCATTTCATGGACGAGACAGCAGATGCCATCGGGATTTCACACGCCAGCATCCTGTTTGACATAAAAGAATGTTATGGTTCCCTTGATGTAGGCCTACTCATGCACAGGTGCTTGGACCTAAGGCACTCCCCCACGGTCCTTCTCCTCTCGGCCCAGCTGTACTTGGGCCCGTGGATTTTAAGAGAGCGTTCCTCCTGCAGCGATCCCATCCTGGCCTCAGCAGGGATCCTAGCAGGTTGTAGGATTGCAAAAAAACGGTGCCGCGGCTTTTCTTTTTTTCCTGTCCTGGGCTCGGTCCATCGGGCCTTTTTCCACAAGGGGCTCGTCGCCAAATCCTGGGTCGACGACTGAATTTCCGTCACATGGGGCCCCGCAAGACCGTCGTCAATTCCCTCGCGGAGGCGGCCATGCAGTTTTCTGCGGGAGTCTCTGCCGACGGTCTTCAGCTTTCGGACGAGTCGGCTGTTATTGCCTCCGGCAGGGTCCTCGCAGCAGAGCTCACCTCGGCTTTAAGACAGGCTGGCCTACAGGTTAAGCATCTCGGAGCTGCTGATGACCTCGGCATTGAGAGAGGCCACCGCCGTTTGCAACAGGCCTCCAAGCATCGCGCGAGGAAAAAGCTGGCTTCATGGCAGGCACGGAAGTTGAATAAGATCGCTCGTGGCGCGCCAGGCTCTCGTGCTGCTCGCCGAATTGCCACCACGGGCATCGCCCCTAGGATTGGCTATCGCACCAAGGTCATTCCCCTCTCTCCCGGGCCCCTCCCCCAGCTGCGCGGGTCTCTCGGTCGTTTCGCAACCTCGAAGGCTCGAGGTAGATGTCTGACCACGGCGTTGCATGACTACGGGGGGCAGGACCCCGCTATCTCTCTGCCCACGGCCACCATCAGTTTGTCGTTTGAAATGCTCGCCTCGTCAGAAGCTTTCAGGAAGAGAGCGGCCCGAGCATGGCCGATCATTTTGAAGACTTTGCGTGCCACCCCTCAGAACCGCCAGTGGAGGAAGGCGAACGGCCTGATCTCGGGCGCGATTTCTGTTTTGCTCTCCGCGGGTTGGGGCCCCCAGGGACCGTGGAAGTGGGCCCACCCTACTGGCGATGCGTATAAGGTGAGTGAAGATACTTTCGACTCGGACCCTGACTGGGGGCCTTTCTTTGAGGTCTTCAGATACTCCTTGAGGCTCTCCGCGCGGGCACACGCTGCTAAGCATTATAATGGGGGGGGGGGGGGGGGGGCTGGGGCAGGGGGCCGAAACCGCAGATTTTTTCTTATATATATATATATATATAAATGATGCGTACTTTAGCAAAGAAGGGATCAAACAATTTCCGAGGTTCCCTCAGCGCGGTCATGACTGCAGGTTTCTGACCCAAAGCTCGTCTCTCCCAGGCGGTGGTGAAGGTCGACTCTATCTTGTGTCCGCGTTGCGAGGTTGAGCCCGAGACCGACCTTCACCGCTGCTGGACCTGTATTGCCAATAATGACATTCCCCGCTGCGACGACACGCAGCATTTAAAGGACCACGCAGTTCAAGGTGCTCAGTCGTATCCTTGCTATTGGCTCCGAGGCCTCGCCCCCAGAGAATGGACGGCTGCCCCAGAGCCGCCGGACAATTTGCACCTCCAGCTAGACCCGCGGATCGACCCGCCAAGCTTCCCTGTGCCAGGTGCGATCCCGCACAACGTGCTGGGTGCCCTCCTCGTGGACGGGAGGGTTTGGCTGAGCGGGGGCGCGTCTGGGGGGAAGCACTCTAGTCGCGCTACTCTGCGTCGTATCACCTGGTCATTTGTCTCTGTTGCCTTCGGGGCTGACCCCAGGGAGGTGCCTCTGCCTTCATGTGTTTCTGGAGCTTTTGGTGGGGCCCTCCCTGGCCCGCGTCAGTGAATCAACCGAGGTGAATTGTTCGCCCTCAAGGAGGCCCTTTTGGCTACCCCAGGCAAGGACCTGACGTATGTCACTGACAGCGCCTACGTCCAGCGAGGTGCGTTCTGTCTGCGCCCGAAGGCCCATTGGAGGCCGAAGACGAATCGGGGCCTCTGGCACCTCGTCCGAGAGCTCTGGGGGGGCCCGAGACGTCCTCGTGGTCAAGGTCGCCAGCCATGCCGCCGCTTCCGAGTTCGAGCGAGCGTCAGATGATTTGAAGGCTTCGTGTCAATTCAACGAACTGGCTGATAAGCTAGCTGACAGGTTCTCTCCAGCCGCGCAGGTCCCGAGCGCGGCTGCTGATTCCCTCCTGGGGCTCGAGGCGGAGGCCGAGGCCATCCACGCCCGTTTGTCTGGCGTTCTGGTTTCGCTACCTTAGTACCGCCCAGAGGGGGGAGTTTCCAGAGCTGCCGCCCAGGGACCTATCAGGAAGAAGCTGGATCTGGCCTCGGAGTTACCCTGCACGGCCCACCTTTTGGAGTGCTCCAGGGTCGAGGGTCGTCTGCGTAGGCAGTGGCGCTGTCGTGAATGTTCCTCGGGGCCTCCCTCAAGGGGGAAGGCTGCTGTAATTAAGTGGCTCCGCTCTCCGTGCAATCCCATCTCTCATTGTAGGCTCTGCTTCGAGTGCCCCGCGGGAGGTGGGGCCGAGTCGGAGAGGCCTCTCTGCGCATCCCTCTCACACAATGCGTTGGTGGGAGGTGGGGGCGGGGACGGTGAAGGAGCGTATTTTCGCTTGCTCGAGGTGTGGAGGGCTCGGTACCGACCACTACCGCTCCACGGGCAAGCTCGCTTCGGAATGCCAGGCCCCCACACGCACGGGCCTGCAGCATCTCAGGGCGCTTGAGAGAGGACGACCCCCAGGCCGCACGAAGTTGGCCAAGCTGGTAAATGTCCTGAGATAGATTGGATTGAGCGCGCAGCGCAGAGTCTAACCTAATCTAATCTCCTCCCTCCTCCTCCTCCTCCTCCTCCCTCCTCCTCCCTCCTACCTCCTCCTCCTCCCTCCACAATTACACAATATGAAAATACTCTCCCACTTCCCCTGATGGCGTCCGGAAGATATTCGGCACCCCCCCGCGTACTGTTTTTTTACACACAGGATTCCCCGGAGTTGGGTTTTCGCTTGTGTTTTTTGTCTAAAATGCTGCTCTCGCTGAGGCGCCGGCCTCATTTCTGCTCCCGAATCGTTCCGAATCGTGCTCCCGCTGCAGCGTGGGCCTCATTTTCGGATCGGTGTTTGGCCTCCGTCGTTCAGGATGGCGTTCTCGCCCCAGCGCGGGCCTCTTTCTCGCGCGCCCATCCGCCCGCCACCACCGCGCCGCACCACCACCACCACCACCACCACCACCACCACCACCCACCACCACACCACACCACACACCACCACCACCACCACCACCACCACCACCACCACCACCACCACCACCACCACCACCACCACCACCACCACCACCACCACCACCACCACCACCACCACCACCACCACCACACCACGCACACACGCACGCACGCACGCACGCGCACCACCACCCACTAGTTACGCACGCGCGCGCGGAGCCACAGGTCCGCTACGACACGCGTCCGCGGATAGAGAAAATCAGCGCCATGGTAAGGGATGGGAGGGAGGGGTAGGATTTCAGATATGACGCGAGCGCACCTAGCTTGTCCTCCCCCCTCTTCCTCCTCCTCCTCCTCCTCCTCCTCCTCCTCCTCCTCCTCCTCCTCCTCTTCCCTCCTCCCTCCCTCCTCCCTCCTGCAACGCCTTCCTACTTTTCTGGCGATCGCAAACATGGATCAAGGGGGTGTGGATTAGCGACGGTTCCCGTCACCATTGGAAATCGCGGATTTCCACCGCCGAGCGAGGCTGCACCTGCCGCATTTTAGGAAGGGCACCTCCCCCGATGCATGGATTTGGCGACCGCGCGCCAAATCCATGGATCGCTAATCCATGTTTGCGCGCCCCCGAACTTTGTGTGTTTTTTTCGCACTTCTTCCGACCGCTGGGTACGCGTGGCCGACTGCGCGTAAGCCGCTGCTTTCGGCGGCGAACGCCCAGGGGGGACGTGAGGGCGCGGCCCTTTTCAGAAGGCCCCTTCTGAGGCATGGTCTAAGCCTTCCCTTAAGTCGGGCGTGCCCCTCTACAGGAGGAATATTCAAAAACAGGCAAGCAATAGTATGGGGACGCTTATTGGGGTATGTTCTGTCGACTTTCGAACATTTTTCAAGTTTTTTTTCATTTTTGCCCAAAATCCGCCTGTATGGGGGACATGCCCGATCTAAGCCTCCCCCGAGCTTGGGGATGGACGTTTGAGCCGTTAGTAGTACACGGGACCTATGTCGAATTGCCGTGCGCCGTTTTCCGAACAGAAGCAATGGCCCCTGACGTATCATCGAATGAGATTGCAGCCCTACTGGCTGTGAAAAAACTGACGTCCCAGAGCGGAAAGCTAGGTTTTCTTGCGCTTCGGGAAAGAAGGCAGGAGTTTCGACACAACCACAACCTCTCACGAGGCCTGAGGGCCTCCGAGAAGCCCCTCCGTCCGAGGCGGGAATTTATCCATCTCCACCGCCTGGAGGGTCAGTTTTCGGAGCCTCGGCAG